GGGCGCAAATAGTTTAGGATACTTTATAAAAGGGGGCGATGACGGAGCGAGGGTTACATATGTCTGCAGACGGAATTCGGGAGACTCGCAGGACACTGGCTACAGGAAAAGGGCTCGATAAAGCTGATGATTTACAATTCCTGAGCACTCCTAACCACTTCGAAAACGGGGATCACAGCAGGCCCCGAAAGTGGCGACAGGTTCGCAGATCGCAGCCCGCAGGGTGGCGATGGTCTCATTGAACCGGCCCCGTGGCTCACTGTGCTGGGCACCAGCAGCCCTCGAAAGTGGCGACAGTTTCACAGATCGCAGCCCCCCAGGGATGGCGAGGTCTAATTTGGGTCCGCGCGTGGCGTCACTGTGCTGGGCCCCAGCAGGCCTCGAAAGTGGCGACAGTTTCACAGATCGCAGCCCCCCAGGGATGGCGAGGTCTAATTTGGGTCCGCGCGTGGCGTCACTGTGCTGGGCCCCCCAGCAGGCCTCGAAAGTGGCGACAGTTTCACAGATCGCAGCCCCACAGGGATGGCGAGGTCTAATTTGGGTCCGCCCGTGGCGTCACTGTGCTGGGCCCCCCAGCAGGCCTCGAAAGTGGCGACAGTTTCACAGATCGCAGCCCCCCAGGGATGGCAAGGTCTCGTTTGAATCTGCCCGTGGCTCTCACTGTGTTGGGCCCCCCAGCAGGCCTCGAAAATGGCGACAGTTTCACAGATCGCAGCCCCCCAGGGATGGCGAGGTCTAATTTGAATCTGCCCGTGGCCCTCACTGTGCTGGGCCCCCAGCAGGCCTCGAAAATGGCGACAGTTTCGCAGATCGCAGCCCCCCAGGGATGGCGAGGTCTAATTTGAATCCGCGCGTGGCCCTCACTGTGCTGGGCCCCCCAGCAGGCCTCGAAAATGGCGACAGTTTCGCAGATCGCAGCCCCCCAGGGATGGCGAGGTCTAATTTGAATCTGCCCGTGGCCCTCACTGTGCTGGGCCCCCCAGCAGGCCTCGAAAATGGCGACAGTTTCGCAGATCGCAGCCCCCCAGGGATGGCGAGGTCTAATTTGAATCTGCCGCGGTTACCCTCTATGCAGGACCCCCCAGCAGGCCTCGAAAGTGGCGACAGTTTCACAGATCGCAGCCCCCCAGGGATGGCGAGGTCTAATTTGAATCTGCCGCGGTTACCCTCTATGCAGGACCCCCCAGCAGGCCTCGAAATGGCGACAGTTTCGCAGATCGCAGCCCCCCAGGGATGGCGAGGTCTAATTTGAATCTGCCGCGGTTACCCTCTATGCAGGACCCCCCAGCAGGCCTCGAAAGTGGCGACAGTTTCACAGATCGCAGCCCCCCAGGGATGGCGAGGTCTAATTTGGATCTGCCGCAGTTACCCTTTATGCTGGACCCCCCAGCAGGCCTCGAAAGTGGCGACAGTTTCACAGATCGCAGCCCCCCGCAGGCAAGACAAGAAGAGGCGGGAGGCGGGAGGCGGGAGAAGGGAGAAGGGACGCGACCACACTGCTCTATTCAAAACGAATACCCAACCAAGGAGGGTTGGGAATAAATTGAGGGATTCTGTTTTCGGTGATTGCATTGTCGGCGCTACTCCAATGCTGACGCTAGATATCTGACGTGGACGCAAGGGCTTCAAAAATCCGACGACCCCT